ACAAATAAAAATAAAAATAAAACATACGATTTTGGATGAAGTCTTTGTACTCGTACCTAAACGGTTATATATTTTTAATATATTTTTATACTATACCTATTGAATATTGATGCAATATACAATTCTATTTATGCTATAAACTCGAGACAACAAAATACGAAGTGTAAGATTATAAGTAGGTACCTACCTACGTCGTTTTTTTTTTTGCGGGCAGTGTCTCACTTTTTAATGGAATACCTACCTGTACACCATATATTTTTAACAATTATTTATCATTTATTTATAAGATATATAAATAAATTATTTTATTTTATGTTTATTGACTTTTTGTATAAAAAAATAATTTCTTAATACATTTGTACAGGGCCGCAAAAACAATTAATTAATTTGATTCACATTTGATTTCACTATAAATTACTAATTATAAGATGTTTGTTAAACGCTAATAAGGTACTAAAAACGTAGGTAGGTACCTATGTGTTAATTTAATGAATCAGTGAAATATAAAAACGATAATGATTTTATAAATATTTCACTCTAGATTATAGGTGTTTTGAAAATAAAATATTTGAAGCAAAGCAGTATTTTATTTTTAATTCCAAAAAGCATCAACTCCATACAATTTTCTACCTTAAAGCTAAATATAAGAAAATAATATAGGTACACATATTTGTGTAAACAATAAATTTATCACTGTTATCTGATTCTAAAATATGTATCTACTGAGTTTAAAATTCTAGTTAGACACACAACAAAACTTGTACGTGTAGCGTGTAGCTTCTTTTGATAAAATGTCACAAGAGTCATAAATTATGACTCATAATATACTCATATTGAAGTTTTAGATGTTAACATTTATTTAGTTTTTCATGAAAACTATCTGTTAATGAATATTAAATTACTTTTATTACTTATTGATATAATATATTTAAATAATTACATTACTGTTTATATTTAATTAATGGTGAGTGATACCGTGACTTAACTAAAATAAAAAAATAACTTAAAAGGACGCTATACCCGCTGTATTCCGCCTTACAAATGTGAAAAATGGCAAAAACAATTTTTCGTTGGTTAGAACCTATCAACTATCAAGTTGTAGCCTGTACCTAGTCCAATCTTAACAACCAATTTTCACATAATACAGAGAAGGACATTTTTATTGTGCAAAGTTATTTATTTTTTGATGTCAGAACAAAAAAAGTTATTCAGACTTGAAAAATTCGAAATAATGAATTTTTGTACAAATATAATTTTTTCGTATTTGTTATATCGAAAAATGTAATTAACGTTGTGCAGTCAATGTTCTAATCTTTATGATGATGTGAAAATGTGGTTGTTTAACTTGAACTACAGTCTTGGTAGTTCTTACCCATGAAAAATACATTTTGCTATGTTTCGCATTTGTAAACAAAGATAACACATACGGCAATTAATAGCATCCTTTCTATTTCAAACATTTCATAAATGCGATGAATTTAATTTTAAAATTAGCAAACACCATGAAAGTTTATAATCTAGAGAACCAAGTGTAATAATATGATACGTACACTTTATTTCGTAGATGATAATCTAACTTTGAAATGTTGAAGAAAATAATACTTACATATCAAAACTTCTAAAGTCAACTACGTATTCAAGTGCTTATGTCTCCTTTAGTCTAGTATTATATTATAATTAGAATCCTACTTACTACAAACTATCCGTAAGAAATTAAACGACATCGACGAAATTACGTTTATTATATTATTTAATAGATTTCCTTCGTAAACTTATTCAATTGTTTTAAAACCATTTTAATTATTTATGTAAAATAATTTTAAATCTAAATAACTCAAATGATCAATTTGAATTAAAATATAAAACTGACGATTTCAATCTAACGTTAGATACATGATTTACTAATCGCTATTTTTAGATAAGGTACAACAAATAATAATTATAATAATCAATTTAAGCCATATATAAACTAAATACCTAATTGAATTCTAAGGCCAATTCAAGGAATCGAGGAGGAATCAATTGAATACGTCATATTGTTAATGATTTCATATAGGTACATTCAAAATATTATCCAATGACAGATGGCTGAAAATCAAATAGGTCCAAAAATCTAATTTAAACTTGGGTTAAATGTTTTCGTAAATAAAATGTTCTCAATATGAATAACTGCAATATTGCATATTGTAGAATTTTTCCTCGGAAATAAATTGATATACAACGGTAATGCATAAAAATTAAAATATATTCTTTATGGACTACCTATTTAATATGATTATAATATAATTTAAAATTAATAATGAGAAATCATTATTATTACCAACTATTAAAATACTTTTTTTTTACAATTTTTAAATTTAATTTGACGTCTAAGCCTCTAAGAGTTCTCTCACTGGATAGCTTCTCTTTTGTACGTTACCATGCCCAATATAATATGTTCAACTATTTGCTTATTGTAACCTTTTTTAAATATATAGATTGTAAATGTTACTTATTTATTTAATGAAAAAAAATAATAAAATTAATTTGTTTTAAACGATTATTACAAAAATGACTACCTATCACGTTATGTTAAGGTATAAAATAATTATCTTGTTCTGTATAAATGAATTTGTTATTTTAATCAATGCATATTATAAATAAATACATAATTAATGCGTAATTCTTTCTTTTTTACTTAAATATTCTTACCACGCATTATTTTGTAGAAATGAAATTAGATTGTTAATATGTTAGTATATATATAAAATAATAATAATTACAAGAGAATGTCATCGAAATATTTTACTTAAATTATATTAATATGTATTTTACAAAATATTAATAAATAAATATAAATGCTTTTATATTTTTATTTTAGTTTGAATGATAGACCATGTATTTGTCGTTAACATCGACGAAACAAAAGAACATAATATAATTCGTTATTATTATGTGTGGACAAAATCAGAGGAGTTTGCGCTTACAAAAGTTGTTGGGTGATTGTTCCACCCTTCGCACGGCGGTTCTTCCTTATAAAAGCAGGAACTGTCATAATATTGCTCAGAATCCCTTCAGTATACTTGAAACTCTTACGTCTATCGTTTTCCGTCGTCTATACCAACACATCAAAAGTAAGTTTTATATTATATACAATTATTCATAATCCAGTAAAAAAACTTCATAATATTATRCATATTATATTTACCAATACCAATAAGTAAAAAGTCTCATTATAATAATTATTATAATAATATCACGATAAGTATTTATAATGAAAATAATAATTTCTTCGCCATTTATTTATGTTTATCATACTGTAATATTTATTA